CAAAACAACCGCATCTCTAAGGAGATTTCTGCCAAAACCAAAGGAGAAGGACAAGAGCAATGTTATCTACAAAATAAACTGCAAGAACTGCGCAAAAACCATATATCGGACAAACAGGAAGAAAACTGTCAACAAAGATCCGTGAAAACCAATCGGTAGTCAGGAGACGTGAGCCACTATCGCTGATTTCCCATCACGACGGGACTGCACCTTGATGTAGTGTGCTTCCATGACCTTGCGAGCTGCATAGGATGGTTTTTCACAGCCGTAGATCCAATCATGCCTGAAAGGTCAACGGGTAGAGGCCTGACAAAGCTCAGTTTCATAAAGCCAGCCGCTTGGGCATCTCCCGGCTTCATTTGCTATTCACACCCGCCCCTGAAGAGGCCACTCCAGCAAATAAACACGGTGAGGGGCAATTTACGGGTCAAAAGATCCCGCCAGACGGACGTAGGAGCAGGGTACCTGGGGCTTCCTCTCGATGGTGGGAGAAGTTTTCGCACTCCATTGGNGAAATCTCCTTAGAGATGCGGTTGTTTTGTGGGCGACTAGGATTCCATATGATCTAAGCAATCTTGCTGTCATTTCCGAAACGTCCTTGATCTATGGCAGGGTAGTTATTATTTCCGATTCTCCGCCCGCTGTTTCTTTCAGTCAGAGCTCTTGTGATAAAGTTGCGGAGGTAGCCATTGCTAGCAAATACTCTGATGAGGTATCTTTCCTATTGAGTATATCGGTGCCGCAGGGCGTTGTGATTCTTCCGAACAAGGTTCTAACGCAGCTTCCTTTGTGACTGTGTGGATGATTATTTTTGAAGTTAGGACTTGACCCGTGTGCGTTTTTGTGCGGTAGACCGTTGTCTCTTGTTTTCCTGATGGCGTTCTGATGATCAAGATGTCCAAATAACACTCACCCCTTCGGAGCAGTTTAACGGTGAGCGGAGTTGAACATAGTGAGAACAAGGGACGAAAATAGTCGGTGGAGAAGACCACATATATATAAACGAACGGGTCAAGCACAACATTGCCACTTCACAAGCACTGATTATGAAACGTTTGCAAACAAATTGCTAGGTTTGGCGAACAGGCAAAATGGAATTAAGTTCACCCGAGCTGCGAGAGCCGAGTTTCCATACTTTGTCAACAGCAAAATTTTTATGGTTTCTTACCTATATCCCCAGTTAAAGTGAGGTTTGGGACTANATATATATAAACGAACGGGTCAAGCACAACACTGCCACTTCACAAGCACTGATGATGAAACGTTTGCAAACAAATTGCCAGGCAAAGTGGAACAGTTTTTGCTATTGGAGCAGCTATATCTTACCTGGCGTCACAGCTGGCAAGCACACTGAAGGCTCGGTTGGTGTTTGCCAACTTGGCACATTTACAGCCCCGTCTCACCATCCAGCTGTCTGTGAAGGGTCAAGTGTATGCTGCAGCAGTTGGACCAGTTCTGCTCTGTGGTGCAGAGATGTGGTCCCCTCAGGAACAGGATAAAAAGGTTTTCGAGCATCGTTGTCTCATTGCACGAGTCTGGTGGTTAAACCGGACAAACAATACTGAATTTAGTTGATCGCGGTCATCCACTGGAACAAGTTCTCGATCTCCAGTGATCTCGCTGGTTTGGACATAAGTTGTACATATCACCAAATGGATTGCCACTGCGCGCGATGTTTGCCGGGGTAGGTGATGGGTTGTCCAGCTCAGATCTGGTATAAGGGTAAGAAAACCCTAACCAGGAAATTTGCTGACAAGGCCCGTTAGACTAACTCGATGGGGATGTCGGAATCATTGTAACCAATGGTTAGTTGTTTTGTTCGTGCATCTGTTCATTATTCTTGCAACGGTAGTCTTCATGAATGCTCTATTTTTATTCTAACTTTAATTTGAACATCCCAATTTCTCTTTACTCTTTCGTCCAAATGGGCTGTCATGAGACAACAACCGAAAGTGCATGGTTAGTTGTCGTAAAACTGAACTGATGACCGTCCCGTTTTTTGTTTCACCAACGCCGTAAGGCATACATTACGATTGGATCTCATCAAAGCCTTGACAGTTTTTTGAATCTAAATTTCCTTGTTCAAATAAGTGATTACTGAAATCAAACAGCAAGTGTATAAGGTTCATTCCCTTGTCTGCCGAGATGCGTAAACTAAAAACTGATTAGTGTTTACTGAGAGAATGTGTTCCATAATATGATAATGCCAATGGACGCACTGTCTTCCCAGATAGTTGCAGGGCGACCTCTAGTTCATTTTTGAGAACCGGTTACTTGAGTCATCGA